GAGAACTCATCGCAGAGGTCGTAATCGTACTTCACACGAGCTCTTTCGATGAGATAGCCCCATGAGCTTCCATGGACCTCGTATCCTGTTAGGATGTCGGGGTCATGGCGCCTAACAATCTCCACAATTCGGACCATTAGATCAAGCTCAGAAGACTCTTCGACTACCTCTGCAGGTGTGTATCGACGTATCCTCGCGGCGAGACCCCCATCTGGTGATAAGACAACAACTCCAGCAAGAATTCCGCTTGCCGCTTCCTGACTGTCGCTGACGGTGCTGTCTGCTTTGATGGACCAAAATATACACTGAACTTCATCCTCGTCAGGATTGGGCACAAACTTGCCCCGTGTGTTGACGTGAATCTCCAGGGCCATGGTGCTCATGTATTGTGCTTCGTGCTTGACGCTGGTTGACTTTTTCTTCGGTGGGTATTTGAAACCATGCCTGTTTTTTGGAGTTGGCCCATCAATCTGGGAGAGGTATTGTCTTGTCGCTTGAGGTGTGCCCATGATCTTTCTAGCAGCAGTATTGCGTTTTCGCTGCACGGCATGCTTCCTGTTCCACCAATCCTGAACTTCTTTGAAAGATGGCGGCGGCTGTGCCATCTCCCAGCTCCGATATGAGCACATCTTCCCCTGCGTGGAATAGAGAGAATCTGCCTTAGGCTTATCGATTGACACATCTTTTTTATGGTCCTTGCTGGCTGCGGACGTGCCAGTCGGATCAAAGTTGGTCAGGTATGGCAGAGTGTCGCTCTCGAGACGAAACTCTCGGCCGGCATACTCTCTGGGTCGAGCAGGGACATCCTTCTCTTCGCTATAATATGCGTCTTGGTATATCACGTCTGGGATTTGAAGGTAACTCATCGTGGATATAAGTTCTTTCGGGGCAGGAGGCAGTGAGCCAAACACAAATTGTCGTTTGGGCGAGAATGTTCCGAGAGCTGTCTGGACACGGCTCAACATCGTCTCTGTTCTAACCGAATATGTTGGCGGTGATGTTATTCGGACTTTCTTGGTCGAAACTGGTGTCATCGGGTTGTTGGTTGTTGTGTCTTTTGCAGTCGAGTGGAAGGAGACATGCTCTTGTGAGCCTGTTTCGGCGTGTTGCGAAGTTTGGGGTTGACTCAATTGGCTTAGTCGAAGCTTGGTGTTTGGATCTTCCTGGCTTTTCACCACTGGGAAGGTCAGCTCCCGATTTTTTATGGACTTTGTTCTCGTGTTCTGTGAAAACCTTGGCGGCTCTTGAGAGTTGGGTGGCAACACTGCGACTTGTTGCTTCTCAATAATCGGTCCAGCATTCAAGACACTTTTGACGAGGGCTCGGGGCGCAGGTGTTACGACACTAATCGGCCCTGACAACACGCTCTTGGTCCGTTTAGCCGAGGGAAGCGTTGCATCCGGTGACGAGCTTCGTTTCGCTGATGCCGGCCGCGGGAGACTTGAACAAGTCTCTCCTTTCAATCTGGACACGAGCCCTTCCTCTTGGGCCGTGTCAAGAATATTGTCCCAAACTGGTACGATTGGTGGGTGGCCAATTTTCAGCCTGCTAGTATAGACGCCCTCATACTGAGGAAGCGGGACGTTGGATTGCAATTTGTGAATCGTTTTGTTGGCAAGCAACCCTTCCTCCTCGGTAGGATTCGTGGACTCCCCATTCGCAGGAATATCTCCTCGTTTTTCCGATGAACGCTTCTTAGGATCGACGGCACGTTTTATTGGACCGCCCTTCTGCAACTTCCGTTCTTCCATCTGAATAAGAGCTTCTTCGTCAGAATCGACGGGATATGAATCCAAGTTGTCGGCGCCTAGATCAAGAACGCCCTGCTCGTCAACATCTATGCTGCTTGCAAGATTGTTGATGGTTGATCCATGGTTCAAGGGCAAACCGAGGGCTGGCAGAAGATTTGTAGGATAAAGGTCCTCAACGGATTGGAATGCTGTCTTGACCGTGGACTCTAGTGGCGTTTGCTTGACGAATGTCTCAAACTTTGGCTCTGATTGATCTTCTGAGTCTTTCTCTGACTCGATAAGCTTGACGACTTCATCTTTGTACTCTGCTTCATGGATCCACCCTTTTGATTGCGAGTCGCGTGCATTGGCAGACATGGAAATCAAGACTTCCGCTGGGAATGGGCTGCTGCCGGGATCAGCGTTGGGCATTTTCAGTTTCCGGCGACGAGTCTCGTCTTTCCAGAGTCCAGCCATACTGTAGACCAGTTTCGCGTCTGATGGAAGCGGCTTGACACGCTCAACAAAATCATGATGAAGGCGACGCTCTTTTACCATGTGTCGGTTCATGATGTTCTGGACGCATATATCAACCTCAACCGAGCAATGGCTGACCCTGGGCAAACTCAGATCATCGAGGACCCGGGCTGGGGGGATTGTTCGGTCATGCCATACATGTTGGGAATTGCCTTCTTCCTCAAAGGATGGGACAGGAGCTCTGAAGTAGACATCAGACACATCCAGGTAGCCACAGCCGTACAAATTGTAGTCAGTCATAAACTGCAACAGGTACTGAAGATGAGCTTCGTAGGGCTGAAATTTCTTCTTCAAAATGACGCCTTGCTGGAGCAGGTCGGCCAATCTTGTCATGACGATAGGGTTGAACATGTAGATTTTGAGGAAGAATCGGTAGCCCACGTGAAAGCCATAGAATGGGACTCCCTTAACGAGGGTTATGCGAGCGACAAACTTGGCGTTTTCTCCGTGCTGGTCACGTCGGTAGCTAACAGCCAGGGCATGGTCAATGGACAAATGAAGACGGTAGATGTACGCTCCGACTTATTTTGGTCAGCAAAGCCTTGGCCTTTAGTAAGATCCACTTACCCTCTTCAGGCTCCAGACTGCCTTGGTAGTCGACGTAAAGGTAAGGGAAGGCGCCGTGAATATGAGCGCAGACTTTTTGTCCAGTCTCTGTAGAACCGAACACCCTCACAACCGGGACCTTCGGGCCCCTCTTCGCTTGCGCAGGGCCGACATCGTTTCTCAGCTGTGGATCATAATGCGTCGGAGTTGCTTGATAGTGATCGATACAGTTCAGTCTGACTCGGAACAAGTCCATGATGAATGCCGACGAGATTCATGGACACCCAGATAGCGGTATTGAGGAGAATTTCATGATAATCAAGAATAAGAACCAAATTGTCGTATGCTGGGACCGTTTGTGCCAATTAGCAGCGGGTGCTACGACGCGACAGGGTCGTGTTATTGCAGGAACCAAGCGCGTGCAGGCTCCCATGTCTACGCCCAGGATCCGCGAGGTCACGTGGTTTTGTGAATTCGATAAGATAAGAGCCATGCTAGAGAGTACTCATATGGCGAGCATCTTGGCTAAACCAGAAACAACTAGACAGGCACCAGCTTTGACGACTTCCTCAATATTGTTGCTGCTTAGTTTTCATACATAAACCATACAATAAATGGTATATATCGAATGAACAACTTATAGAGCATGGAGAAAATCCAGCAACAATTTTAAGCCTGGTTTCACTTGACACGGAAGCTTTCGGGCAATATGGTGATTACGTAATGAATGTATGGCTTTGCGCTCAGCACCCAAACTCAAAATCCCCCCCGAGATGCGCCCCCTCGACTTTCACTGAGCAACAAATCTCGAAAATCAGCAGCAGCGATTCGTCAAAATGCCACCGCCGCCTCCCCGAAAACCCGATCCGAAGGCTTCCGCCGCCTCGAAAGAGGAAAACATATACATTCCCTCGTTTATCAGTAAACGACCTTTCTATGCAGGCGAGGAAGGCGATGATCAGACAGACTACCTCGAACATCAACGTCTGCAGAAGAAGAAAGATGAGCAGTCGCAATGGTACGACCGTGGCCGAAAGGCGGGCCCCGCAGCCACGAAATATCGTAAAGGGGCATGCGAAAACTGCGGTGCCATGACGCACAAGGCTAAGGATTGCCTGAGCCGACCACGTGCGAAAGGCGCAAAGTGGACTGGCAAGGATATCCAGGCGGATGAGGTCGTCCAGGATGTCAAACTGGGCTGGGATGCCAAGCGTGATCGTTGGAATGGATACGATCCTAAGGAATATCGTAACGTCGTCGAGGAGTTCAACCAGATGGAACAGCTGAGGAAGGCTGCCCTAGCCAAGGACGGAGCGGAAGATGAGCACGACGACGGTGACAAGTACGCCGAAGAGAACGACATGAGCAAGCATCAAAGTACAGCCACTCGCCAGCTCAGAATACGAGAAGACACAGCCAAGTACCTGGTCAACCTCGATCTCGAGTCAGCCAAGTACGATCCGAAGACGAGATCCCTGGTCGATGCTGGCGCAACCGCAGACAAGGCGGCGGATCTTTTCGCGGAGGAGGGCTTCCTGCGAGCTTCGGGCGACGCGAGCGAGTTCGAGAAGGCACAAAGGTACGCCTGGGAAGCCCAGGAAAAGAGTGGCGATACCACAAAGCATTTGCAAGCAAACCCCACAGCCGGAGAATTTTACAGGAAGAAGGAGAAGGAAGAGGCCGAAAAGAAGCGGGCCGAGCAGGAGAGGAAGCTCAAGGAGATGTACGGTGACAACTCGCAGTACACGATGCCCGAGGAGATGAAGAACCTCATCACCGAGTCCGAGAAGTACGTTGAGTACGACGAACGGGGTCTCATCAAGGGCGCGCCCAAGGTGATCGCCAAGTCAAAGTACCCCGAGGACATCTATATACATAACCACACATCCGTCTGGGGAAGCTGGTGGTCCAATTTCAAGTGGGGCTATGAGTGTTGTCACTCCGTGGTGAAGAATAGCTACTGCACTGGTGAGGAAGGCAAGCAGGCCTGGGAAGCATCTGAAAGACAGCGGACCGGTGCCATCTTGGTTCAACAGGAAAAAACAACGGATGCCCCCGAGGCTGACAAGCCAGACGATGAGTTCCTGGTAAAGAAGTCTGCGAGTAAGCGCACAGCGGAAGAAATGATGGGGGGCGTCACGGAGGAAGAGATGGAAGAGTACAGGAGGAAACGGACAGCTGCAAACGATCCGATGGCGAAGTTCCTAGGCAAGGATGAATTGGTTTGAGGGTAGACTACTTAGGTTATTTGCATTCGACAAACATGATACCCATTTCCCTGTCAAGTTCGCGTGCTGGCATGCAAGAGCCGATGTTGATTTGTGTGCCCTGAACGACAAGCAAAGACTTTTATAACATTCATTCGTGGTATCCGTATTTGATGCAATCATTCCATTTTGCCTCTGGTGAACGCCGTGACTATGAACACCCCAATTTCCGTGGTTGGTTATGATTTCCAGCCATTCTTCTCCCAGAGTTTTTTTGTGTGACCAATCCTTAGCATAAATGGCGATGCATTTACTCCTCATCCTCCTCCTCGTCACCACCGTCGGCCTTCTCAGCGGCCTTGGCCTTCTTTCTGCGGACACGGCCAGGACGGCCACCGCCGAAGGGAGAGGTGAGGGCGAAGTCAATGTGCTTCTGGGAGTCGAGACGGACGATGAACGAGGGGACGTTGACGATCTGCTTGCCGACGCGGATGTGTCTCTGGCGGATGAGGACACGAGCGTGGTGGATGGACTTGGCAAGGCCGAGCTTGTAGACGCAGGTCTGGAGGCGGCGCTCAAGGAAGTCCTCAACCTTAAGGGCAAGGACGTAATCGAGCTTCATGCGGGACTCGTCAAGGACACCGACACGCACGAGACGGCGAATGAGGGCATTTCCCTCGAAGAGGCGCTTGGGGTCCTTCTCGTCAAGGGTCAAGAGCTGACTGCGTGGTGTTAGCAGAAATAATGGACCACAAACAGCGAATGCAGCCGTCGACGTACCGGGCAGCACGACGGATCTTGGAGAGGGTAAGCTGGACACGCCAGACCTCACGCTTGTTGCGGAGACCGTACTCGCCAACGAGCTTCAACTCGGAGTCCCTATCATCGTATCGAAGTCAGTTGTTGAATTCACGACGTAAACAGAGCAAGCTCTAGTTCAGTGGCCGGAGAATACTGACAGACGGGCGGCCTCGAAGGGGCGACGGGGGACCTTGGAGGTCTTGGAGTAGGTGAGACTGTTGCGCCAGCTGTTAGAATAATGTGGTTCTCAATTGCGACATGCGCATGAGGACTGAGATCGATTGTTACTCACGGCGCCATCTTGCCGACTCGTCGATATCCTTCGGGATTTGTTGGTTGACGAAGATCAAAAAGAAGATCGAGAAGTTCTTTCGATATTTCCCAAGGTCAAACAAACCACTGACAAAAATTACCCTGTGGGGAGCGAGCGAGGGCTGACTAGCGGGTCGGCTTAGTGGGTCCTTTCCCACATTCGCCTAGGTATCACGTGCAGTGCCCTTTCCCACCGACCAGGCGATGCAAAAAATCGCCATCTGAGTCAGCAATAAGCACACGAAATTCCTGGGCCGTTTTTGCCTTTGCTTGTCTGGAACTTCCGTGATCTTTCCAAGACCCGACAACACTATCACCAAATTCCGCCCTTCACGACAACCACACCGGCAAAATGGGTCACCCAGCGGGTCTTCGCGCGGGAACGCGCGTACGTACTGCCCTGCCTTGAGATATTATTGCATTGCGGCCGGATTGCTGACGGTTTTGGCGTTGCAGTATGCGTTCAGCAGAAACTTCCGTGAGAAGGGTATGATCAAGCTCTCCACGTACCTCCGCGAGTACCGGGTTGGCGACATTGTCGACATCAAGGCCAATGGTGCCGTTCAGAAGGGGTAAGCGAATTCCCGACCCTCGAAACAACCGTTATGCGACAAGGACATCTCGGAGATGGTTCTTTTTTTCCGCTTGGAGGGAGCGTTGGCATGCGCGCACACAAATGGCTGACATATTGGAATTGCAGTATGCCTCACAAGGTCTACCACGGCAAGACCGGTGTCATCTACAACGTCACCAAGTCCGCTGTCGGCATCATCATCTACAAGAAGGTGAAGCACCGCTACATCGAGAAGCGCATCAACATCCGCGTCGAGCACATCTCGCCCTCCCGTTCGAGAGATGACTTCCTGCGCCGCGTCAAGGAGAACGCTGCGCTGAAGAAGCAGGCCCAGGCCGAGGGCAAGGCCCTCCAGCTCAAGCGTCTCCCCCTCATGCCCCGTGAGGCCCGCACCGTCGACTTCAAGGAGAACAAGCCCGAGACTGTCACCCCTCTCCCTTACGAGACGACGATTTAGAGTGTCTTTTGGGGGGGTTGGCGGTTCTTCTTTTGCATGGGGTGTTTACGTGAGGAACGAAAAGGATTTCTAGCATGGAAAGGCATCACATCACGTTTTCGGCAACGTCCATAGGGAATGGAAACAAAAAAAAACCAATGGCACATCGTCGTTCACACCTACATGAGGGGATGTCACTTGTGCGACCCGTTGGCCACTACGCGATTGTGCCGCGATCGTGCCGCGACGCTTCATGGTTGTAAGCCTGAGCTAGGGACACGTTGCGGGTTCCGGTGTCTAGGTGTTGTGTGTTCGTGGGAATCACGGCCATTCCGAATGAGTACGAAAGCCAGGCGAATAGTTTGCCCATCGGGCCCTCATGATACCCTCAGTCGAATGAAGAACAAGACATTGTAAAATGCTTCAACTGTTTTATTAAGCTATGACCGTCCACTAGGTACCTATGCCGAGGCTATGTTCGGGCGAAAAACATAGGAAATTGATGTGCAATATTCGTCTCACTGTACAAATTGTCCTAGTATTGGCCCCTCATCTGCTTTTTCATCTCAGGCGACCGGCTAGATCATGCAAAAAAGCTGCACATCTTCTGCCGATGATCAGTGTGAGATAACCTTGGGCGAATGCGCTGAACATTCGACGCCAGCGTCTGCAATTCGTAGGGCCCTCGATTGGCATTAGCCGTATTCTTCGTATGAGTCCTAGCGACTAACACGAGCTTGTCGGTTCGCACCCTGACACACGCAGTTGCGTTTCCACGAATGCGTTCCAGAAGCACACCCCTTATGTTTTACTTTGGCTTGATACCCGCCAATCATTTGCACTTGTCATTGGGGTGCTTCATTGACTGCTCGCCATCGTCTCTCAAACGTGGAAATCTCCTATTAGATCGAGCGCAGCAATCGGGTATTGAGAGCAGGCGCAGGGGCCTTTTGGGGCCAACTCTGGCTGCTGAACCCCACCATTATCGTCATCAGATCAGACGTCGGCCTGGAGCTTTGGGTGCTTGGCCGCCGCTGGGGCGCTGCTGGAAGGCACGCTGACACTGCCGCCTCCGCCGGATTAGCATTATTCCATGCTTTTCATGCCTAATCCGCCCCAAACTAAGCCGAATCGCAAACGACGACGTCTTGGCGCACTCCCCCGGAGCTTGCGCAAGTTGCAGAACCCAGCCACACTCGAGCTTCTCCAGACATTTTAGGAGCTTGGTCAACGCTGACGACTCTTTCCGCCTCTTCCACTTGGCACGGAAGTCCCATTCTATCTTCTCTTTGTTAAATTCAACAGTACATTCACTCATTTCCCCGAAACACCCTCCTTGCTTCCCAGTGATACTCGGGCAGCTTTCCGTGCACGTGAAGCTCTCACCTCAACCCGCGGGGAGACTTCATTTCCTCGAACCATCAGAAACCCTCCCCCAATAACCGCCATCCACCTCCGACAACACCCAGCGACCCCGCGTAGAGAATCTCGCCAAAATGGCCGCCGTGCCTGACACCAGGCACACCAAGTCCGTTTTCCCCTGCCTATTAGATATGGCGGTTCATGCTGGATGCTCAAGTCTCTGCGACAGTGCACTGACACTTTTCAAGGACCGATCAGGAGTTGGCGATCAACATCAGGAAGGCAACGAACCCCGACGAGACCGCGCCGAAACGAAAACATGTCCGTAGTTGTATCGTGTACACCTGGGACCACCGGTCCTCCCAGGCCTTTTGGACGGGGATGAAGGTGTAAGTGTGGCGCCCCTGCAAGTGGGAGGGCTTCCGCTAACAAGGACGCAATGCAGCCAGCCGATTCTCGCCGACGAGGTCCAGACGTTCAAGGCCTTGATCACGGTTCACAAAGTTCTTCAGGAAGGACACCCTAACACTCTGAGGGAGGCCATGGCGCAGAGGGGCTGGATCGATAGCTTGAACCGCGGCATGGGCGGAGAAGGAGTTCGAGGATACAGCCCCCTGATCCGAGAATATGTCTACTACCTCCTGGCGAAACTCTCCTTCCATCAGCAGCATCCCGAGTTCAACGGGACGTTCGAGTACGAGGAGTATCTGAGCTTGAAAGCCATTAACGATCCCAACGAGGGCTACGAGACAATCACCGACCTGATGACGCTGCAAGATAAGATTGAGCAGTTCCAGAAGTTGATCTTCTCCCACTTCCGTCACGTCGGCAACAACGAGTGTCGGATTTCCTCCTTGGTCCCCCTTGTGCAGGAGAGCTACGGTATCTACAAGTTCATTACAAGCATGCTGCGTGCCATGCACTCAAGTAGGCGCCCACAGCCCCCTGGACTGATGGCAAAGACCAGCTCTGCTAACTTGACCCAGCTACTGGCGATGTCGAAGTGCTCTCGCCTCTGCGTGAGAGATACGATGCACAGCACTACCGCCTTGTCAAATTCTACTACGAGTGCTCAAACTTGCGCTACCTGACCAGCTTGATTACCATTCCGAAGTTGCCACAGGATCCTCCCAATCTTTTGTCGGAAGACGATGAGGCGCCTGCGTTGCCGGCTCGGCCAAAGCAGGAAATTGAGAGACGCCCGACCCCACCTCCTGAACCAAAATCCCAAGAGCCCGACGACATCTCCGAGTTCTGGAAGAACGAGCTGGAGCGCCAGAACCGGGAGTACGAGGAGCAGCAGAGGGTGCTCGAGGAACAGCAACGGAACCAGATGATGATGCAGCAACAGGCGCAAGAGCAGGCTCAAAGGGAGTTTGAGGAGCAGCAACGCAGACTGGCGGAGCAGCAGCGACGTGAGCAGGAGGCCTTGATGCAGCAACAGTTGCAATACCAGACTCAGGGCCGACTCGCGGAGCTCGAACAGGAGAACTTCAACGCCAGAGCCCAGTACGAGCGGGATCAGCTGATGCTTCAACAATACGACCAGAGGGTGAAGGCATTGGAGGGAGAGCTGTCTCAGATCCAGGGACACTTTGGCCAACAAATTACGAGCAAAGACGACCAAATTAGAGCTCTTCAGGAGCAGGTCAACACGTGGCGCACGAAATATGAGGCCCTCGCGAAACTCTACTCTCAGCTCCGCCACGAGCACTTGGATCTGCTGCAGAAGTTCAAGTCTGTACAGCTGAAGGCTGCCTCTGCCCAAGAAGCCATTGAACGCCGGGAGAAGCTAGAACGTGAGATCAAGACGAAGAACCTCGAGCTTGCGGACATGATCAGAGAAAGGGATCGTGCCCTTCACGACAAGGATCGTCTGGCAGGGGCAAACAAGGATGAGGTTGAGAAGCTCAAGCGCGAGCTGCGCATGGCCCTCGACCGGGCTGACAACATTGAGAGGAGCAAAGGAAACGAGCTCTCAACGATGCTGTCCAAGTACAACCGCGAGATGGCTGACCTCGAGGAGGCTCTGCGTCTCAAGTCCCGAGCTCTGGACGATGCCCAGGCGAAGCTTAGGGATGGCAGCTCGGACCTAGAGCAGCTCCTCCGCGACAAGGAAGAGGAGTTGGAGGTGTACAAGGCGGGCATGGATCAGACCCTTATTGAGCTCAACGAGCTTAAGCTGAACCAGGGCGACACGGACACCGTCATCGACGGACAGATAGATGCCTTGATCATGGCCAACCTCGACAAGATTAACGACATCATTGACTCCGTGTTGCAGTCGGGTGTGCAGAGAGTAGACGACGCGCTCTATGAGTTGGACTCCACGATGCAAGCCGGAAACCAGAACGCCTCGCCATCATACGTCTTATCTCAAATCGAGAAGGCATCCTCGAGCGCAATGGAGTTTGCCACCGCCTTCAACAACTTCATTGCCGATGGCCCCAACGCCACGCATGCGGAGTTGATCAAGGCCATCAACGTTTTCGCGGGTGCCATTGCTGATGTCTGCAGCAACGCAAAGGGTATCACTCGCCTGGCGACCGACGAGAAAAAGAGCGACGCCTTGATGAACGGCACCCGGCAGTCTGCTGCGTCCACCGTCAAGTTCTTCCGCGGCCTCCAGAGCTTCCGTTTGGAGGGCATGGATCCCATCCAGAAGACCGACGTCGTCATCAACAGCAACAACGACGTGCAGATGAACTTGCAGAAACTCAACAAGCTTGTCGAGACCTTTGCGCCGAACATGGGCAAGCTCGCTGGCAAGGGCGACTTGGGAGACATTGTCGACCAGGAACTTAGCAAGGCTGCCGATGCTATTGCTGCTGCTGCTGCTCGTCTGGCCAAGCTCAAGAACAAGCCGCGCGACGGCTACTCTACCTACGAGCTCAAGGTGCACGACGGCATTCTCGACGCAGCCATGGCCATCACCAACGCCATTGCACAGCTGATCAAGGCTGCCACCGTGACCCAGCAAGAGATTGTGCAGGCAGGGCGTGGCTCGTCCTCGAGGACGGCCTTCTACAAGAAGAACAATAGGTGGACTGAGGGTCTCATCTCAGCTGCGAAGGCAGTCGCTGGATCGACTAACACCCTGATCGAGACCGCGGACGGCGTCTTGTCGAACCGAAACAGCCCTGAGCAACTCATTGTGGCATCTAACGACGTTGCAGCATCCACCGCCCAGCTCGTCGCCGCCAGCAGAGTCAAGGCGGGCTTCATGTCCAAGAGCCAGGAGAACCTCGAGCAGGCCAGCAAGGCCGTCGGCGCTGCCTGCAGAGCGCTCGTGCGCCAAGTGCAGAGCATGATCAAAGACCGCAACGCAGACGACGAGTCGGTCGACTATTCGAAACTCGGGGCCCACGAGTTCAAGGTCCGGGAAATGGAACAACAGGTACGTGATTTCTGCTTGTGTGGTTCAACTGAGTGTCTCAAGACGCTTCCGTCGCAGCCGCCCTGTTCTTGGCAATTGGTTCTTGCCTTCCGGGCAGTAGGGGGGAAATATGCTAATGTTTGCCGCGCTACTTTGTTTAGGTCGAGATCCTACAGCTGGAGAACGCCCTCTCGGCGGCAAGGCACCGGCTAGGGGAGATGCGCAAGATCTCCTACCAGGAGGAGTAGACGTGGCCTACGCTCGTCATCGTTTGGAGTTGGGCCCCGTGGGAGGAAAAGAGACGGGCAGAGCTCGTTGGATTGTGGAGCCGATTTATCGCATTTCGGTGTTCGGTCGTTTATTCTCTCCTTCAAGGAGGCGTTTATTTACTTACCTTTCTCCAAGGGATCTCCCCCTTACTATTGCGGACTGAGGGATACATCGCGGGCTGGTGGCGGGCTGGTGGCGGGGTGTCTTGTCATTGTGACTTTATAGTTTTTTTCTTTCGACTTTATTGACATGCGTGAGCATTTGCGTTATCCCACTGAAATCAATAAACGGGAAAGCGGCTTTGGTCCTGGCACTGCCCCGGTGTCTATCAGGTCCCCGTCCCCTTGGCTTTCACAGTTTGACAGTGCTGGTGTCATGGCCGGGATGAGGAATCCCGGGATTTGAGATTGCGAGTAGTCTAATCTGTAGGCCCGGCCAACAAGCAAGGCCCGTACTACATGAATGACGAGGAAACGCCTGTCCAAACGCCTTGACACGGCTGGACTTTGGCGGATACCACTGTTGAACCACAAGGCGGGATGTGGAAGACAAGACGGCGCGGCACTCGGACACCAGCTTCCTTCCCCGGGGTTCTTGAGGCGGCGTCTGAGAGACTCCAGGTTGGGGAAACCGATATGAACCTGAAAAGCAGTACTCTACTGGGCTCCCCCTCAAGTATTTTTCGTGTAAGCCGAGTGCTCACGCAGCGCCAGCACCTCTGGGATGCTTTGAGCCACGGTTATCCCCCCTCAAACCCGGCGGGATCCTTACAAAGGCGTGGGTGCCATCCAGGGAGACACTTTGCGTCACTACCTCCCGGTAATGGAGACCTTATCGCGAACTACGACCCCGCCCCTCTTTTCGGCCCGTTCTTAATAAGATGCTGCCCGTTCTCAACATGGGGTCCACCGCCGGGCCGTTTTGCTTTCATTACTCGGGCAAATCTTTATGCTATTTTCCCTGGACTCGCTAAAGATGTCCAAATTGGACGAAGGGAGGAGGGTGGCAATATGCCCAGGCGATTCTTTTAGCGCCGGGCACGGAGGCGGAGAGAGACTTGGTGCTCCGGGGCCATCCATGGTTACGTTCTGGCCCCCTTAAGCTCTGTTGATTCTAGACTGACAGGTCATCGCCAGTCTCGTGTAGGATCCCAGGCCCGTCTCCATCGCCCTCCGTTTGTTGCATGGCCCCCGACTGGTCTTTGTGTATCTGGTCTTCTCAGCGTCTGGGAAAGATGCATGCCCGTGCAAGGATAGGTCCGAGCATCAATGCAAGCAGCGGGCTGTGGCAATTATCGTTGTTGCGATGTCGCCACGACTTCGTTGACAGGGTACTGTTCCTGGCACTGTGGATTGGGCCAGTCCGGTGAATAACCCCGGTGCTAAAGCGTGCGGGCGGCAAAGCATGACACTTGTCTTGTCGCGGAGCCTCTGCGGCCGGCGATCTGCGATCGACTGCCGGGTTCTTTGTGAAGAATGCCTGTTTTTATTGAATTTATATTGGCTATGACTCCTGAATCTTTCTCGCAAGTTTGTCTGCTTTCTCGAGACACCAAAAGTAGCCGCCGTTATCGTCCAGAGAGGACAGTTTGCCCAGCTTTATGACATGGTCTCGTGCCAACGCCTTCGTCTCCTCCCCAACCTCCCCACCAAGTTTTACCCCTTCGACCCTGGTCTCTTAACCCTACTCGGAGAGCAGAGTGTTATTTGGTCCTGAAGTTGAGTCAGGTGAGGGGGTCGGTCATGAGTTTGTCGTGCGGGTTTTAGAGGGCAAAACATGGGTGTGGCGAGGAGGCACTGCAAGTGATCTGAATAGGATATTGCCTAGTCATGACCGCCGGCTAAGAGATCAAAAGGCGCCCCTTCCGTGGGTTTCTGGTATCCAAGGTGGACCTGGGCCGTTGGAGATTATCGGATTGCAGCCTATCATCGATCCTCGCAACAGATCGCTGTGGCGCCACACATGTACATGATATTTCTCAATCATGAGTTTCTCAAGCGCGACCGTACATCTCGCCAATCATCTTCCATTAGAAATAGCGCGCGTCCGGCGCATATGCCAGAATCTCCGCGTGATGAGTTTTCATTGGTAACGTAGCCTCGTTCGTATTCCGGGGGCGGCACAGTCTACCCTGTTGGCCAAGGACAAACAAACTGCGCTCTGGCCCTTGACAAAAGCGCGCCTAGCGCGAGTCTGCTGCCTATCAATGAGCGGTGTCAATGCGATGCGCTTGCTCGTGGGAGATTGCATGCTTTTCTGCGTGCCGCTATCATCGGCTGTGCCTTAATTTCCATCCCATTTCGGAGGCCATCAGATCAAGAGTGCAATTCCCGCTTGTCTCAATGGTTCCCCTGTGGAGAATAGGGCCCCAGGGATTGACAGATCGGTGTGGAAAGTGACTGTGTCTTAAACCGGTTCAGGCCAAAGGAGGGCGGTGCTTCGAATTGATTTCTTCTCGACCAATGCCATGCTGGTAAATAGCCAAGAGCCTTGAATGCCGACTGCGTTCGTATTGGCGAACATGATAGGCAGGCCGCAGACCAGGAAGGATTCAAGAAGAGGACGTCGTCGTCTCTTGATCTACACAAGTCGCCCTCGCATTGCTCTAGCGTAGAGAAACACAGACCATGCGGCGCCACGTTCTTGGCTGACATCTGTCCCCATGGCTCAGCGGTCATGCAGTGCATAGCTGTACCGGTATGTGTTTTCGACTGGTAGCCTGACTTGGCAAGGAGATACGGGGCTGTATCAGGTGCCGGGTACAAAGCATTCGGGTGGCTATTGGTCTGGCGTTCGGGAGAGCTGCAACCATAACCTCCGCTGACGACCTCTTGGACAGAAAATAGGCGGCGCTAGAAGGCCGCTGTCATCGTGCCGGGCCTATCGGATGACGGTCGTTGAATGACAGCTGGTTCCCCCTCCACCGTCTTCGATTTCCAATCCGCCACCTATCGTGCGTACGTTGACAAATCGGCATGGAGGTCGCTTCTTCAAAAAGCCTTGCAGAGAAGCAGGGAGCAGAAGAGAGGCACAGTAGTGATGCTCCAATGCTCGAGAGCGTGTAGTTTACCGTTTACTAGATATTACTAGCGGGTATGAGGGCGTTTGTTAACTCAAAGTCGGCCGCGCGCATGACCTCCAGAGGTGGGCGGAGGTCTGGTGTCGTCAACATCTGCTTCTCTAGTCGACAAATATCCAATGTCGGTGAAAGGAGGGGTTCGCACCGATCTGTACAAGACATTACCTGGTACCGACGTAGACTGGCGGTTGTCACGATGCATCCTGAGGTAGGCCAAACACGTCGAAAGCTCTGAGTATCTGCTCTCCTTCCAAATCATTCAGTCTTGCCGCATGTTGCAAGTTGGGAAGGTGGGGGGAGCACCCTAGCTGGTCCTCTTGTTAGAGCTGAGGCAGGTTGGTGACGTAATCATTTCTTCGGCGCCGCTCGAAGCAAAGCTTGAGGGTAGAGCAACAGTAAAGAACAAGACAAAAGCACTAATCGGCACGTAGGTACGAGGTAGAAGAGCAAGAGCCTGTACATAGTAGGCAAACCAGCAACGGTCGGATGGGGCTAGGACAGGGATGTATATACGCCAAGGGATAGACGCGGACTCAACCTTGGGCACGGATTCCGAGTCGTCAGCTTGTTCTGGTAGCGTGACCCATCCAACCAACGCTTCTGTCTTTTCCATTACAGCACCGTGTCACCCTTGCCTTCGACATCCCTGAGCTTACTGTGAGGTCCACCCCCGCTCAACATGCCGGATGGGTTGTTGATCTTACCCGATTCGAAGACATGTTTGCTTGCGCGGCTCTGGCATTGGTCGCTTTCTTTTTGCGGTGAGCTCGTCCTGTCTCCATGCGCAAGAGGTCGATGACAAGGTACCCACCACAGCGGAGCTATTTACAGTACTTAGATGTCACCAGGGGGCGCAGTAGAACGGGGATAGGTAGGCCCGCGGCGCACTGGCTCCTTTTTCCTTTGATTCTCGGAAACATGTGTAGACGGTTCCTTGCATTCTTCCCACCTATCCGGAAAGGCGAGACAGGCTGGTTGAAAAAACAGGGGGACCTGGCATGTCGTCCCCCGCTTTGTTCAGCCAAGGTTCCAGATGTGACTATTTGTGGGGCTTGTACAGGGATCACCACGCTGTGGCTGGGCTAGTTCGGCTTGGTCCATATGCTAATCTTGACGACCCTCGTCGGCTCTCACAACCACGCATGGGACGTACGTATGAATACTATCTCTATTTGCTTCTTCTTGCATGTCTCGGTAACCAATCAAGTTCTTTTCATCCAAGCGTCCCCTGTTGGAACATCTTCCTGGTTGAAAAACTTGTATTGTTTGCCCCTTTCCCCGTAAGGATTCCAACACACCAACTTGTCCCCTCCCTGCCTCCTTCACTTCATCTATTGGCCAGCTCCAGCCCCGTGGTCAACTTGCACAGGGCCAGGCTATACTCATGACTCTAATCTGCAAACTCTCGTCTCTCTTTTTTTTCCCATAGACCCTATCTACCTTAGGTACCTAGGCTTGATCGCAGCAACCACGTGGACGGTCGACAGCCAGCGCAAGGAAGTAGTGTTCAACATGATCCCGAATCCTTCTCACCCTCCCATACACCACTTCATTATTTTCAGCACACCCTTGTACACTTGGGAGGCTCTCAAAATACCACTGAAGACCAGCGGCCTGTTCGACCCAGCCTACAGCTGACCCGGACACCAGAAGACTCTCATTGGTTGGGAGGGACCAGCTAGACGCGCCTGTAAACCGGGAAACAGACATCGACATGATGCGCCAAGTCACAAACCCTTGTCCAACCCAGCCCCGACAGGGCCACACAGGCGAAAGCCTCGTTACGTTGTCTTCGTCAAGGGGGTGGCATCCTTCAATCCTTCACTTTGCCTTGAACGTGGCTTTCGTCTACTTTGTAATTCGCTTCGCTCACTTGACAAAAAAGCTCGTCGAATGCCTGCTCGTGAAGTTGAGATAACATAGCTGGAGGCACCGTCATGTCGAAAGAGGAGTCGGCACTCCAAATTGATGATTCATGTGTATCCAGGCCGAAGGAATCTTGCAAAGAGAAGGCCTCGAGGCCATGTATTTCTTCTTGTTCAGGGCTGAGAAAAGCATTGGAGGTGTCGTTAAACGAGTCGCCAACGATTGATAGCCCATGATGAGGTGCATGCCCGCCAATATTGGCTTTTGTTGGAAAGCTGGGCGTGTCCAAATCATGCATCATCACCTGCGAGATCGCTGGCCGGCTCCCCAGGGGAGTTGCATTTGCTTGCGCATGTGTTGTCACAAGTGATGAGTATGGTGGTGGGTTAGCAAAGAATGTCATTTCGGTTGGCGAAAAGCAGTCTTGCTTGGGTTCGAGGTCCGGGCGGTGATGTCCAGTTGTTCGAGGGTGTATCGAAACATCTTGGTAATTGCTTGGCTCGCGTGGCAAGATCCAATTACCAGCTTGTTGTTCCTGCTGACCAATGGCGGTAGTGGCATAAATATTTTCTCTACCTCCTTGGTTTTGATATGCTGATAGGCGTCAGCTCTGTTCTCATCCGTAATATTGGGACTCACCTGGGTCATAGTGATAGACTGTGCAGTGATCGTAGATTTCCTGCTGGTTCGTTACAGCAGAGACGTTGACCAGTGGCATTGGCGCTCGCACCAGTTGCCCGTGGGTATTTCGCACGCAATAGGCGGCCTGGAACTGGTGAGGATGGCTACACTCGGAAAGAATCCATTGCCCGGGAGGAAACGCCGCCGAAGAGGTGAAGAGATTGAGATGATGCCGAGGTAGGACCTCGTCCATGCCCTGTGCTCTTAATACGACGCGGCCCTCGGTCGAGGATGATTCTTCATTCCGAGACATAATGGGCGGCAGGAAAGAGAAAATATGGACGCAATAACTCTTCTAGACAGTGACGGAAGAATTGGTGTAAGCGACTGTACAGATGGAGGAGGGTCTTGGACGTAAAGTCCAATAGCAGACAAAAGTTTCTTCCAAGAGGATTGTAGAGCAACCTAGCCGTGGAACGAAATGCAAGAAGGAGATGGGGCGTGTCAGGAATATAGGTACAGATAACCCTTGGCCGAGTGCAGTCACGGCAATGGATGGCATGCATGTGTTGTGGAGCACGTAAGTCGGAGAAAGCCGCCTCGAGGGGGGGATGATGGCACACGTGTAATATGACCTCTGGTACCAAAGGCTCTGTGGAGCTAGACGGCAATGACAAACGTGATTGGGAAGAGGGAAGATTACTGTTAGAGAGTTGGGATTTCCGGTGACAATAACCATGCATGCAATTGCATTTTCCCGGCTAGCCACCAATAGAGATGCGAGCATGCCGTCAAACTTTGTAAAAGCAGTTTGGATGGCTCATAGGGGCCTGTTCGCGGTGATACGTTAATTTACGAAAAGATGTAGATGCAGGAATACCAAGGAGAATCTCAGGCGATGTGATGCTCTCTATCCAGAGTCCTGGATTCACAAGTCCGACGGTAGCGGTCCGCCATGGGCATCTGAGGCTGGCTTGTCCCTTGCACAGGCCACGCCGTCATTTCTCCTATACCGGCGCAATGGTGTTGATAGACGCCAAAGGGAATTATAAGCGAGAACAAAAGACACGTGCGTTGGTTGCTTTCAACCTGCGATACACAGACCGTAAAATGCGCTTGCGACAGGGAGTCAGGAACGCTGAAGTCGTTAGCAGAATGACCGATGCGCAACTGTTGCCAAGGCACGATTGCCTACTCGATGACCTGCCTCGAAAGTCTGTACAACCATGGACACTAAAGTAACGTATCATGACAGAGAGCAGAGAAAATCAGAGAAGATCCTACCGCCCTCGGTGCCGGTATCGCAAGGTAGGTAGCAACACAAACCCCATACCAAACTACCTACCTATGTAGGTATCAGAAACCTGAAGGGGAAGACTCCGGGGCAGCTTCTACGTTGAATCTGGAGAAGACGTGCGGCCGAATGTTGTTATGGCATCTTAGATGCCGCCTCTTGGTTTGAGTCACTCGCCGCCTTGCACTTGAGTTGGAAGAAGCAAGGCGCTGTGGAGGTAGGGCAGATAAGAATGCCACAGACATCCGTGGTAGAAAGCCGTGGCAATGGTAGCGACGGCAGGTTGCAGCGACGAGTGTCGGTACTCTTCGGGAATCCAAATGCTACCGCATGGAGCTGTAGGTGGCCGTTATCGGTCTTGGCGGCGACAGTTAGTGGCTTGCTGCGTATCTAGACTCGGCTTGCCAAAGTCGGCCGGCGGGGGTATGAGGTACCTGCATCTGTAAAATGTCATCCATAGGTGTGAGCGAACCCCTCGCTCCTGCTCCCGGGGTATCTGGCCGGCTACCCGTACCTAGGTACGTCCCGATACATGGAAAGCAACCATGTGCTGTATGCTATCTAGGTATATACTTACCTAGGTGGGTGGGTAGGTAGGTAGGTAGGTACAGTCTCCAAACCGAGAAGCCACCACCTTCCAATGTGCGCATTTCTTCCTCCGCAACTAGGTAGGTATGTACACGACTTAGAAAAGAGCGCCTCCCTGCAGCCTTCCACCTTCCCAAGGCATGGGTCCCGCAGAAATAGACGCAAGACCAATCATGCCCCGGGCGATGCCATGGCTCCTTCGCTTCCTGAGGGGAGGTGGCGCTTTATCCCCCCTGCCAGGGCCCTTTCTTGCCCAAGGCTCGTTGCCGATCTACCATGGCAGGGACTTAGTAGCCTCCCTCGAATCTCTCCCCAACGTGCTGCGGACCACCCCGGGTTGCCGTCCATCAGACGCCTTATGAAAGCCTTCTTATATTTGACTACACTGTTATCCCACATTGTCGTCCATCCGGCATTCTCGAGGACCAATTCAACCGACTCTCTTTCAAAGTGATTCATATTCAAGTATATCTCGAGGAAACACAAGACACCTCCAGCTATAGATTTACAACCCAGGCCTACATACACCGCCATTTGAGCTGACATTTACACACGCCATGGCTTTGACATTCAACCCTGGCCAGATTGTTGCTCGCAACATCGACCCCACACAAGTCCACCCCGAGATACTTCGCATTGTCATGCGCATTTTGGACCTTCATCTCAACGCTTTTGAGTCCACCATTGCCGTCTCGGGAAATGATTACACTGCCTTCGGCGAAGAAGGCCGGCTGTTCATGGCTTTGCAGATGGGGTAAGCATTCGCTCTCCGTGGTTTCGTCCACTACTCTTTCTTCGTCTTGGCTTCTAACCCTTGATCACAGGCGTGTCCTTCGCAAAAGTGTCATGTGGGTAAAAGACGGCATCGACACAAACAGCAATAGATGGCTTCTTGGCCCATGTGATAGGTTCATCACTGGGCCACACATGATCGTCTCAGTCGATGGCATCGCCGTCGTTGTTCGAAGACCGCCGCCTCAATTTCTCGAGGAAGCAGCTGAAGCGACAACGCACCGCGTCAACACTCCTGAGCGGGAGATCAAGGTACCCCGCCCGCCCAACGCCTTCATTCTCTACCGCAAGGATCGCCAAGCACATGTCAAGCAGATGGATCCTCAAATCCAGAACAAAGGCATCTGTGAGTTTACAAGCACAGCTTTCTTCGACTTCCCATCGCTGACCCTTTCACAGCGCAACTTCTGGGTAAAGCCTGGAATGCCGAGTCCCACGAGGTTCGGGAAAAATATAGGGCACTCGCAAAAGCGTACAAAGAGCGTCATAACAAACTGCACCCGGACTATCGGTACACTCCGCGCAAACCATCAGAGAAGCGTGGTGGCAACCGAAGGAGCGTGTCAACCCAATCCGCTCGATCGGTCGACTCATCACCGAGGTGAGGTCGCGGCGATTCCCGGCGTTTGAACGGAGCAGGAATCACATATACCCCTACTTCGACGACCCGTAGCAGGCGCGGTCCACCTGCTTTACCATGAGTAACGAAATACCAAGAACGAGTTTTTAAATAGCTTCAAAGGGGACGGGTGATGCCTGTTGTAGAAACCTGTCAACCAGAATAAGTAGCAGAGGATGGTTTCAGCAAAGTCGCAATGTTCATACTGTTGAATAGGCTTTGTACATGCATGTACTTAGTAAAACGTAGGGGTAAATTAACTTCTTATTAGGTAACTAAACAGGTCTACTCTACTATTATTGTACAAAGTAGTTATATACTGCTTAAGTATAACTTAAGTTATTCTAGCTAACTAAAAGTATAATCCCCTTTTAGCTTAACTAAGGGCTAAATAACTAGTCTATGCCCTTTAACCTTAAATTATAAACTATTTATAGTTAATTAACTAGGTATTATATAATTATTAGTATTAATATTCTAATATTTACTTTTCTTTTTTTATAATTATATATACTTTTATATTAACTAATTAGATAGTCTTAATTAGTTCTTATAATAACTTTACTTTTAGTAGCCTACTATTATATATAAAGTTATCTAAATAAAAATAAACTTTAAATATACCTTTTCTAAGAGTAAATATAAGGTAATACTTACTAAGCTAATTAAATTTATTCTTTTATATATACTTTACTATTTAGTTATTTTTAAATAGTTACTTACTTATATAATAAGTATTTACTTTACTTTTACTTCTTCTTTTACCTTATATTTATATACCTTTTTTCCTTTTATATAATTAGTAGCCTTAACTTCTCTTATATAAATACCTTTTACTTTTTACCTTCTTTTCTTTTTTTTTTCTTTTCTTCTTTATACTTTTTTAATAATAATAAATAATATATAAAACTTTACTAGTATAGTAACCTTACTACTTCTTCTTCTTTATTTCTCTTATATATTAATTAATTAATAACTTCTTTTTTTTTTAACTTATTAATTATCTATTACTTTATATATTATAATAGCTTAGCTTAGACCTTAGCCTTTAGTTATTAGTTCTCTTAAAGTTTAATAAGACTAGAATAGTATAACTTAGCTTTATATCTTAATAAATAACACCTAAAACTATACTTTTCTTCTAGCTTTTACTATTAATATATAAGGTTTCTTCTTCCTTATTATAGTTTATATATACTAACTTTTATTAAACCTTTAGGATAAGAAATAAAAGGTTATTAATATACCTTTATATAATATTACTATTTATTTTAATACTAATACTTTTATCTAAGAGTTTATTACTAAAGTAATTTAATATAAAGGCTACTTTTATATAATACTTATTTAGTCCTATAGCTAACTTATATAGGCTTACCCCTAAAAGTATATAAATAATATACTTTACTACTTTACTAACTACTATTACCTAAATAACTATTAAAAAGAAGTATATAGTAAGTATATTTAGATAAGCTATAAAGCTTAATATAGCTATTATAGCTAAAGAGAGGTTTCTTTAGGTAATAATAGTAGTAATTTTAGTAATAGTAGTAATAGCTAAGGTAACTATAAGAAACTATTAGTCTCTAAGGGCTAAAACCCTTGTACACTAAGGAAGTGTTTAAGAAAAAGCGTTAAAGAGAAAGGCTTCTTTCTTAGCTTTAGTACTAAGCCCCTAATCCTTAATTAAGATTAGATCTAAGGTATATTTTTCTTTATATAAGCTAAGTAATAGGTAAGTATAAAAGGTTTATATACTCTCTATAACTTAGTAAAAATATATTTTCTTATATAGTAAATTTATATACTTTAGTTATAGTTAAGGTCTTTAGTCTAGTTAGGTTTAAAATATATATTTAAGGTTTTAAAGTTAAATAATACTCTTTTTATAGTATAAAGGTAAATACTTTATATAAATTAATTATTAATTAGTTTTCTTAATTTATTTAATATATACTTTAATTTAGATCTTTAGTATATTTATACTAACTAGCTTTTTAAGGCTAAAGCTTAGTAATTTCTTAGTAAGTATATTTACTAGATTATCTTTTTTATTAATTTATTTAACCTTTAAGATCTTTTTTTTCTTATATAATTTATATAAGCTTATAATATTAATTATAAGTTACTTTTTATTTATTATTCTTAATTAATATAGCCTTTTTACTAGCTATTATAGATCTAATAAGAGGAGTAAGGCTATAATAGGTAATATAAAGTAATATAATATAAAAGTAAAGTGTAATAGTAGAGCAGTAAAATAAGGTAAGCACTAACAAAGAGCTAAATAAATAATATAGGACAAAAGCTAGGTATTAGTGTAGGTTATCTATTAAGGTTAGCCTTCTTTATAGAAGAAAATAGGCAATAGGATATATACCCCTAGGTATATGCCTAGATATATACTAATAGGGTAATCCTATGTTCTACCTGTCTATTTACTATATAAGGCACTTGTCCTATAATAAGTGCTTTCTTCCTAAAGGACTTTATCCTCTTTTACTAAGAAAATATACTAAATAGTAGTATATATAAATATAAAGTGTAAGAATTACCTTTTTTCCTATATAATAACCCTATTACTTATTATCTCTAAAGTTCTATTAAGATTATTTAGCCTTTAGTAGTACCTAGGCTAAGTTATTATTATTAGTGTTATAGTAGTGTTTATTAGCTTAACTACCCTAGGTTATTAAAGTAGTAACCTTAGGCTAAGTAGCTAGGACCTAAAGGTTAACTATAGCCTTTTATTTATTAAGCTTAGTAGCTATTTAGTTAACCTTGTTTATTAACTTCTTAAATAGGCTACCCTTAAAAGTAGTTAGTGTATTAAGGTTATTAGACTTTTTATTAAGGAGTATAACTTTAGTGTTTATCTAGTCTACTTGCTCTTTAAGTTCCTTAAGGTGCTTCTTTTACTTATACGCTTTATTAGCCTTTTTATAAAGGTTCTTTATAATATTATTAATATCTATATTAAAGGTATTAGTCTTTT